AAGAATTTATTTCTGGACTCTATTATATTCCATTGGTTTATATGTCTATCCTTATGGCAGTATCACACTGTTTTCATTACTGTTGCTTTGTAGTAAGTTGTGAAATCAGAAAATGAGACCTTTAACTTTGTTTTACTTTTTCAAGATTAACATTTGGTTACTTGAAGCCCTTTAAGATCCCATGTGAATTTTAGGATAAGTTTTTATATTTCTGCAAGAAAATTCCTTTTACATTCTAATAAGAAATACTTTGAATCTGCAAATTGTTTTGGGTAATGTTGTCATCTTAACAATATTAAGTCTTCCAATCAATGAACATCGATGTCTTTCTGTTTATGTCTTCTTTACTTTCTTTCAGGGATGCCTTATAATTTTCAGTATACAAGTCTTAGACTCCTTTGTTAAATTGATTCTTAAGTATTGTATACTTTTTGATGCTATTGTAAACAAAATTACTTCCTTGATTTCTTTTGGGGATTTTTTTTTCTTGTAGTACTGGGTATTGAACCCAGGGCTTCTTTCATGGCTGTTTGATTTTTTTGGTGTAAAGTTTTTTCAGTTCTTTATATATTCCAAATATTAATTCTCTGTCAGAAGAATAGCTTGCAAAGATTTTCTCCAATTCTGCAGGCTGTCTCTTCACCTTTAAGTGTTTCTTTTAGTATGAAGAAGCTTTTTAATTTCATGTAGTCCTACTTGTTGATTCTTGTTAGTATTTCCTGTGCTATTGAAGTCTTGTTCAGGAAGTTTTTCCCTGTGCCAATGACTTCAAGTGTTTCCCCTATGTTTTCTTCTAATGATTTAAAAATTTCAGATCTTATACATGGGCTTTGGATCTATTTTCAGTTGATTTTTGTACAGGGTGAGAGATAGGGATCTAGTTTCAGTATTCTATGTGGATATCCCGTTTTCCTGGCACCATTTATTATACACTGTCTTTTCTCTAACACATATTTTTGTCCAGAATCAGATGGTTGGAGTTGTGTGGGTTTCTGTGTCCTCTGTTCTATTCCATTGGTCTACATGTCTATTTTTGTGCCAGTGACATGCTGTTTTTATTACTGTGGCTTTGTAGTGTAATTTGAAATTCAGTATTGTGATGCCCCCCTGCTTTTTCTTTTCTTTTCTTTTTTCTTTTCTTTCTTTCCTCTCAAGATTGCTTTGATATTTTGTGTCTCTTCTGCTTCCCTATGAATTTAAGATTGTTTTTCCTAGTTCTGTGAAAAATGTTGATCTTTTAAAGGGGATTCCATTAAATCTTTTGGTAATATGTCTATTTAATGCTATTAATTCGAGTAAGCCACAAACATGGTGGGGGGTCTTTTCATCTTTTGGTGTCCTCTTCGATTTTTTTTTTTTTTTTTTTGTTTTTTGGCTCGAACTCGGGTCCTTGCACTTGCGCGGCAGGTGGCAAAACCACTGAGCCAAATCCCCGGCCCACAAAAGGGCACATTTATTATATGTGGTTTTCCAAGGTCAGAAGATTTTTAATTTAACACCTCCTGCAT